TTTACCACGGAATCGCAGAGGCAAGGATTGCATATTGTGTGATAAAAAGTGGGATAAAATATAAAAACATACACTAACTATACTTAAGAATACAGAGTGTTTATAAAAAGTGATTGTTGATGTAAGAGCCTGTTTTTGAAAATTGGCCGCATACATGCATTATACGCAATTATCTAATTTGCAATCGGATGTTAAGAGACCTTTTTAAATGTAGCTTAGTAAAATAAATGAATAATTAAATAGGAAACGTGACACATCATGAATGGAGCGAGGTGTTACGTTCACAGCTGGGAAACAGTACGGTAATTTAACAGCCAGATAAAAGAGACAATACACATGCATCGGTCACATCATTAAATCAAACGCAGTGTGTCCCAGGGCCCTGGCATCATTACATGAAGGTAAAATGTCAGAAAATGCCTTCTCCTCAAAATCTGAGCGAGCGTGGAGCGATTTCGCCGCAGCGGCAGGAAAATTAAGGTGATTTTCTGGCGCATCTTAGAGCGGCGGAGCGAATGAACGAACATCCCCCTGAGTGGAGAGCCGGAATTGCACGGCGCTCTACTTCATTCACATGTAGGCAGCGTTAGTACTAGGCAGCATTAGCCTTCCACATGTGCTGCAGCTCGTATCTATCCATTTAGTACTGCATGGCTTCTCTAATATCCTGTATATATATCCAGGTTGCTTCATCTACAGGATAACTTCCTACAGAAACGTGTATGTGAAGAAACAGTATCTATACACCAACGCCAGGCTATGATAATAAAAGCCTGTAGCTCGTGTACCATTTGTATCAATAGAAAAGGTCAACTATATTAGCCACTCTTTGACCACTTGGGGCAGCAATGAGATCCTTCTTTTACAACAACTACAGAAAAAATCAACAAGATCACATCAAAAAGTAAAAAAGGCACTTTCAAAGCCAATTCCATGCTAGGAACAAAGCCACTTTTTATATTTTATATTTACTTTAAAACTATACTGTCACATGTACTCACTCATCCTCCCAAGTGAATAAATAAATGGTCTAAATAGTATATAGTTTCCTTGGCCAATTAGTACAGACTTTTTTCTTTAGACATTCATCAAGTAATGACAGTGTTTTACTATAAAAGGATGCCCCCTGTGCAATGGATACATTCATTAAAAGTTCATTATTATTAAACTACAATTGTAGACTGAGGTTATACCAAAGGGGAAGTGATTGAAAATGAAATAAACCTGATAGCAAAGTGATACAGCATTACAAAACTAGGTCAGTGGATGCTAGGGTAATTGGTTGGCAGAGATTACTAAGTTTCTGCAGATACAGAGATAAAAGACCTTTAACCATGGTGTGTACCTTACATTAGCTCAATAACAGCCCAGAAACCTTTATAAAGGGAGCATATGTACACTCTGCTGGACTAGAGTGAGCTATGTCCTAATAAGAAATCCATGCCTAAGGAATATCTTCCAGATTCTTAACTAAACAAAGTGATTTTGTGTTATGACAGACTGCTGTAATAACCACAATATCAGCTGCCAAGCAACAGAGTGAAACAAAACATAACCACATAAATTCGACTTCTTCAATCTGCGATGAAACCCCAGTAACGGTGCTCTGACATTTCTGCACCACATGCAGACTCCAGTTGCGTGTTTTATAGGTTTTTCAGTTCTTCTATATCTTATAGGAAAAATGCTGTTCATTATATTTATTTTACACTCAAACTGCTGTGCAGACCAGAAGACGGTGATGCCATATTGTGTTGTCGTCTTAAAACAGTCTGACATCTATACCTATATGACGATGAATCAAAGCTCTTCTCTGCGACAGAATGAAAATCACTACATCCTCATTGTGGAACGTTCTTCTTAATATCACCATTACTTTATAATAGTCAAACCATGTCAATTATTTCCATTTTGTCCCATTTCTTTTGGGTGGACACAAAATGATTGCTTACTGTAGCCCAGGCATGACCAAAGTTGGTCCTGGAGGCCCGCTGTCCTGCAGGTTTTAGAGGTTTTTCTCCTTTAGCACAGCTGATTGTGATGATTGCAGTTCAGTAAAAACCTGTTAATCAGCTATCAATGGAAATCAGCTGTGCTGGAGCAGGGAAAACCTCTAAAACCTGCAGGACAGCGGCCCTCCAGGACCGACCTTGGGGATGCCTGGCTTAGCCATAAAGAAAATCAACAGAAACATAGTTTGTATTTACATTCAGACCCCTACATCAATGCCTGTAGGGTCCCCATTTCATGGCTGATATGAGTGAGACTTATCATAAGCCTTTTGTTGGATAGCTCCACCAGTTTGGAACATCTGGAGCAGGGGTCTGCAACCTGCTGCTCCAGAGCAAGAAGTGGCTCTTTGAACCCCATAAATGGCTCTTAATAGTAACTATAAGTAATATTAACAACCAACTGATGTCGTATAATGACAAATAGCAGTCTCAGAAGCTTTAATGATTTTAGACCTATTTTTCTTGTCATTAATTGGTAATTTTGTCTTTTTTTTGTAAATGCCTGATTCATTTTTTTGAAACTTTTCATGTGTTCCTTATTTTAAAAACTAAAAATGCAAAACAAAAACCATTGACACTTTGAAAGAGCAACAGATTTCCTTTAGCAAATCTTTAAAAGGTAATAATAATTCACGTTTTACTAAAAGGTTGTGTAATAAATGCAGCTGTACTTATTACACAACTTTTTGCAGATCCCTGATCCAGAGACCCAAAGTTGTATCCATTGAAATCTTCTAAATTCTTGCCACAAACACTAAATTGGAGTTAAGCCTATACTTTGACTAGGCCATTCCACCACTCTACCGTCACTTAGGGGTGTTCTCCTGTCGGGACTCATTCAGACTCCAACAGCTTTGTTTTTATCTTCCCATAGTCTCTGCTCAGCTTCCCCATCCCCATGATGCAGCTTCCCCCATGCTTTACTGTGGGAATGTTTTGCCTGTACTGAAACAGTCAATCAGCTTTAGAAGAGCGGATCTTTGGTGGATAAAAGGTTGAGGGTTAGATTCTAGCTCCACCACATCACATGTTGATTTGTTTTTAGGCTTAACCCAAAGTAATCCACCAATGTGCATTTTAAGATATTAAGTTGTGTATATTTACAAGTGTGAATGGGTTGTCATGAATGATAGGGTAAAGGAGGTTTATGGGATCTGCATGAGTGGTATAGTATGATACACTTTCAGTTAATTGCTACCACACAAAGTTCTTGCTTAACACAAAAGTTACATTTTGGTCCCATCTGAACAGAAGCTCCACCAAAATGGGACTCAATTGATGCTCTGCCTTAGCTGCTGATCTCTGCTCCAAAGTAGCAGGTTTCTGGTTTATAGCCCAGCCTGTTGGTTTAGGCAATGACTATATATTGGTAGATTTGCAGGTGTGATACCTTTTCAGTTGCAGAACATAAACCATACTGTTGAGATATTAAAGGTTTGGGATATTGCTCAAAATGAATGCTGCATCTATTTCCCTTTGTGAGCAACTTTTACCTCTTTGTTTTCCAGGTGATTTACTCACCCAGAGGGGAAGAAGCAGATACGTTAACATATATGTGACTAAAACAACCCCATATCTCTTTAATATTTCCAGCTTTTATAAGTTTTAAAAACCTATTGCAGGTAGTACACGCAAAATGCAAACATAGAAGTGCTATATATGCTTAAGATAGTGATTTAGGTCACAATTTCAATAGGAAAAATCATCATAAAGAACAAATGCTACCAAATATAAAAAAGGAACTGAGATGGAATTAACTAATTATTAACTAATCACCTCTTTTCCTTTGGCTGTATACTCTGAGATATCAATGGTTACCAACTCATGAAATATGATTATAACTAATAACTGTTGCTACCTAGTTATCAGATACTGAACCTATAATTCCATTAAAAAATGTGTGATTGTCAGCCATTCAGTTTTTTTACCTTCACCCAATATAAAAAAGGTGTTTTCAACATGACAGTCGCATTTTAGATCAAATCATTTAATGCTGGAAGTCTAAGACCTGTCTGCTGTGTTTCTGGGTCTCCATGATGTTGTTTGTTCAATAATGTTCTCCATTAACATCTGATGCCTTTGCAAAGCAGCAGTGATTATGCTGAGATTAAATTACCTACAGGAGGGTTTGATTCAGATGTCAGATCTCATCTGAGGATTAATAATATGCACTGGGTTTCTATATATCTGGGGGAAAAAATCTACAATCAAATATTTTAAAATTAATCTGTAATTCTCTGTCCATCCCACAGTTCAATTCAATTTCAATTCAGTTTATTTATATAGCGCCAAATTCACAACACATGTCATCTCAGGGCACTTTACAGTTCACCAGATCATACAGTCAAATTGATACAAAGTTTTCTATCTAAGGAAACCAGTTGATTGCATCGACTCATTGACTCAAATACAATCCCCCACACTAAGCATGCTTGTAGCGACAGTGGAGAGGAAAATCTCCCTTTTAACAGGAAAAAACCTCCAGCAGAACCAGGCTCAGTGTGAGCGGCCATCTGCCGAGGCTGACTGGGGTTCTGCACAAATACCTTTTGGTTTGTAATATCATATCTCAATATGCTGGTGAAGATTCCTATCATATCTCATTAAAACAACTTCAAGTTGTAGCTGCAAATTTGCAGTGGAACCCTGCAAGTTGGTTGTAAAGTTACAAGTACCCGGTTCGACCCCCACAGCCTGCACTCCGGGTTCCTGAGCAAAAGCCTTCACCCCACACTGCACCCCGAGCGCCACACAATGGCAGCCCACTACTCCCCAAGGGGATGGGTTAAATGCAGAGAATGAATTCCCCATTATGGGACAATAAAGGGATTTACATTTACATTATATTATAGTCTTTTATACTGGCTGAAAATGATGGTTTGGTGATGAATCTCAGAAATCTTAGAGGTAACCAACAATCTTAGTCAGTGTTGCATCAAAAAGTAGGTTTTTAAAACCAGGTTTGGTTGAAGCTTTGTGCTTTATTAATGATAAGGTTGAATTTAGACCTTTAGAAAGGAGAAACAAGTCTTTTTTAAATACATTGAAATATAATTTATGAAAGAATATGGCCGTATTAGGTTACAGAGAAGTTGAGGCAGACACTTAGTAAGTATTGGCTGAATGTAACCTTTAACTCAGGTTCATGGCTGTCTGTTTGAGGTTTTGTCATGTGGGAAATTAAAAAAACTGAGATGAATAAGAGCAATGTTACATTTTTCTGGGTTTATGATTTTCCACTTACTGTCCTGACTGGAGGTGGTGAGATGCTCCAGCAGATCACATCCAAACACCTTCTCTTTGTTGCCCCCTTTTCTTCGAACTCTCCGCATCTCTTCCTGCCTTCAGTTCCCCCCACACATTCAGAACGGCCGGCGCTCCTCTGCCTGCTCACTCTGCCGGCTGCCTGCGGTTGGATGTGCTCGCCGACTCCTCTTAGTGTGACAGTGACTTTGTGGAGGAGCTTTGCATTTCAGGGATTCTGTTGCACTGCTGCTGCTGATGCTGCTGCCTCTGTGAACTTTGCCACCCTGGTGAGCTGTATCGCATTGTAAAGCTGGAGTCTTGGGACAAACTTTTAGTCTTCCAGCCTGCAAAAGCAGAAAATAACTTTTTTTTTTTTGTGCGTAATATTTCTCCACATTGCAGATAAATATCCATGCAAAATCAAACAAGCTGCACTCAATCCCTAGTGTGCAAATGTGGCTTTCTACTTCCCCCCAATGAACTCAATTTATTTTTTTCGAGTCAAAGGCCACACCCTTGTCCCTGTACTTCTGCTATTCATTGAAATGAGCCTCTGAATGATTCCTCCTGTCTCACTTTATAAGAGCCCTTGAGCTGGTGGACCAAATAAAGTCTCCACTCTCAGCTTGGGCCCGGCTGCTGGGGTCACAGCCGGTGCTTTTCGCCCTTCCTGAACACATGTCACGGCCATTGCAGGGCCCGATCTCACTGCAGCGGAAGTCGAGCTTGAAAATACAAACTGAGACAGACATACAAACTCAACCCCCACCTTCTTCACCATCCTGACACCTGCTGCCTCCCTCCCATCGCTCACCCCATCCCTATCCACATCTGCCTTTTGTAGGAAGAGTTGGAAATGAACAAAAACAAGAGAAACTAAACAACTTATAAAGCGAAAACAAGTGTTCCTACCTTCACTCTGCAACGGCACACAAGAAGCAGCATAAAATGATGACGCAAAAAAACCACTAAACTTCCCCTGTCAACTTCCTGAGTGTCTCTCCTTCTCTTGTGCTTTCTCTGTGTATGCAGCCTGCAGTCTCTCCGCCTCTGTAGGGAAATCAGTTCTTTGTATCTGCATGCTGCATCTATTTCCCTTTGAGCAACGTTTACCTCTTTGTTTTCCAGGTGATTTACTCACCCAGAAGGGAAGAAGCCGATACGTTAATATTTATGTGCCTAAAACAACCCCATATCTCTATAGTAAACTTGTTGCAGGTAGTACAAGCAAAATGTGAACAAAGAAGTTCTATATAAGCTTAAGATAGTAATTTAGGTCACAATTTCAATAGGAAAAATCATAATATAGAAAACAGTGTATTCAACAAATGCTACCAAATATAAAAAAGGAACTAAGAGGGAATTAACTAAGGATAATTATTAACTAATCATCTCTTTTCCTTTGGCTATATACTCTGAGATATCAATGGTTACCAACTCATGAAGTAAGAACCAATAACCGATACTGAACTTATCATTCCATTAAAAAATGTGTGATTAATTGTTACCCACAGAGTTTTTTTTTTTTACCTTCACCCAATATAAAAAAGGTGTTTTCAACATGACAAAGCACTTTTTAGATCAAATCATTTAATGGTGGATGGTT